CCACTGAACTTCCAAACATGAAACAGGATCAATCAGCACCGCGCCGTGAGATGTCAACCTCTCACGTTCTTCATGGGCCCCATCGGTGAAAATCATGACAGGTGTTCCGCAAGAGCCAGCTCGGATCTCGCGAGGTCGCATGTCTTCAAGCAGGTCAATGGTCTGTTGCAGTAAAGTGCAGTCCTCGTTGCTGAGCTTCAATACGCCCGTCCGACAGGTGTCGTGAGGCACTTGACAGCCATCACAGCTACGCAGCCAAACGTGTGAGTCGAAGCATACAAAAATCTGCCTTTCAAGCTGGCCAGCACGGCAGGTTGAACGAATCCGTCGGAGCATACTGAGTTTACCATCGAGCCAGTGCAAGATCTCGAAGATTCCTTGTGGGGCCTTGGGCAAAGAGAAGCTCGCCCCCAACATGGAGAAGAGAGGCTGGCTTCAATAAGATCGGAAACTGACCGCTCGGTTCGGCATCGCCTAAAATCTTGAACCCTTCACAGATTTTCTGAAAGAGTGTGTCCTGCACACCAGCAGCCCGGGCAAGTTTTTTGGAACAGCAACAGCCTTTTGCGCTTTCAAGACACGGCCGCCTCGGAGTTTAACGATCGATGCAGGATCTCTTCGTTCTTTTGAGCTCAGCCTCAGATTGAAGAAGCGCCTTCAGAGTATTGGTTTGGTGTGGAGCGCTGACGCTCGCACCCATGTTGACACAAGCCTACATCAGGCAAAAAGTGTTCTAGGCGATGGTCTGAGCGCGCACGAGTTTCACCAGAAACACTTGAGAGCCTGTGCGTTGAAGTCATTTTCTCTCACTTTTTCAACCCCAGTTTTGGTAACCGACACCTGTCAGCGAGAGCAGANNAGTTTGTTTGCCAAGGCATGGAAGCCATGTTATGCATGGCATGAATTTGCCTCGGACTTGCGCCTCTTCTTCGGAGAGGAAATTCCAGAAAGTTTCGTTGCTAAGTGGAGTGCATCTGGAAAGCGGCAGCTAGTAGGCCAAGCAGAGGTGCTTCCCGGGCTCTTTTCCTGTCAGCGACACGTTTGCCATGCAGTGTGTCAACGCTCACCTGGATGTTGCACTCAAGGCTACCCACTCGTATACTCGAGTACCTTCTAAGGCGAACTTGGCGGACCTATTCTTGTACTTGAATGGTGCCGCATTAACAGAGAATGGGCTGTTCACAGGCCCACCAGAGTGATCCTAACCGTCTGATGGACCACTCTCCCACTAGTCCTTGTGTTACCATGAATCAGACCCTGGTTGCTGCACTCCAGATCATTGTCATCAGCCTAGCAAGATTCCAGTGCAGCAGAGGACAGTCCAGAAAGCTCAGACAGAAGATCACTGTGCATAGAAATATTTTCCTGCCGATCTTCAGGTCTGACTCAAGACATCCGGCCCTTTTAGATAGGTGCCGATTGCATCAGCTGGATCGGCTCCTTCAAGAGAGCCCGATGCAAGTCATCCACGACGACTGCAAACCACCGAGAAGATACCATATCAGCTGTTAGGCGGCATCTTGCATATCGGAGACAGCGCACACACTGGACACTACCGCATGTTTGAGACTCGCGATGTCTCTGCAACGCACCATCTGACCTGATCCATGATGACAATGGACAGTCGGTTGTAGCTACTAGGGACAATCTGGTACAAATCCAGAATAATACTTCCAACAATCGTCAAGACTTGCACTGGTCAGAAGGATCCTTCTTTGGCGCTCGACACCTCAACACCGGAGACTTAATGGGGAAAGATCGTGTTGAGGAGTGATCTGGAAAAACCAGTCTTCTCGACTGTTCTCGATTCTTTCCTTGGGGCACTGGGTGCCTGTGGTGCGACGCTGGGCGTCCGACACCGGTGGGCAGCTTTGGTAGCCCCCCCTCTTCTTGAAACTCCGTCCGAGGACGTCGTTTCCGCCTTGTGCGGAGCGATAAATCTTTATTGCTGTTGTGTAAAAAAAGTTGTGGTTGTCGCAACTGTCTACCAAACCGTTTTCTCTCACTCGAATAAACACTCGGTTGCTCGATAATGTTTGTGATTGGCAGTTCGTATTTTGCTAAAACTTGGTTTTTGCGATTTTGCTAACCAAGGCCGCTGCAGTTCATTGAGAACATACCTGTTAGCAAAATCATGGTCGAACGCTGAGCCTTGGGCTCATTGCTTTTCCTCTTGGAGGACACAAGAAACTTTTTCACCCGCCCGCCCACCCGAGGGGGGAAATGGGGGGGAAAGATCGTGTTGAGGAGTGATCTGGAAAAACCAGTCTTCTCGACTGTTCTCGATTCTTTCCTTGGGGCACTGGGTGCCTGTGGTGCGGCGCTGGGCGCCCGACACCGGTGGGCAGCTTTGGCAGCCCCCCCCCTTCGTCGTTTCCGCCTTGTGTAAAAAGAAGGAGTGCGCAGTGTCTGAGCAAGTGCAGTCAGTACATGTCCATTGATTGCCACACTCGCAATTTCTTAGAGTACATCTGCTTTATGGAATTTCTGGATATATACTCACATTCCATTCTCTAATGGTCGTTATCTTGGATAAACCTCCTTTGCGAGGTTTGGTTGTTTGACACCTACAAGCAATAAAGTGGAGATGCTAGCGATAGATGATCACGTCGTTTGTCCCAAGCGAGACACCTTGATCTTCGAACGTTCAGCTCAAGCTTATCAGGACGTGGGTTTAGTGCAACACCCTAAGAAGCGCAAGCGCAATCTGCAGCGTGGTACTCTGTTGGGTGCCGAAGTGGACGGTGAAGCGGGGTGGGTGGCCGCGCCGCGTCACCGCGTGGGCACTCTGATGATGGCCACTGCGGTGGTGACACGGAAGGGTGTGTGCACGCCTGCCTTGTTGTCGTCGCTTTTGGGACTGTGAGTGCATGTGCTCATGTACCGCCGGCCCGCACTTTTTCGATCCTCGGCGCTGCCTTTAGCGACGCTCAAAGGGTGCCACGCAACCGCGTGGTGGCACTGCAGCGAGCCACCTTGAACGAGCTCCTGGCACTTGTGATGCTGGGCCCAGTGCTGCAGACTGACATCCGAGTCAGCTATGTGCCGCGCCTGTTTCGTATGGACGCATCACCAGACGGAGCAGGCATAGCCTACGCATCGGTGCCTGAAGCGGTTGTCAAAGAACTCTGGCGGCACGGTGACACCGAGGCTACTACACAAAGCTGGAAGGGGGTGCTACTGCACTGCTGCGCGAGCAAGGCATCGACACTGAGCCCTGGTTCGGCGCTCCCGAAAGCTTCCTGCCGGGCCCTAAGGTTGCCATACCTACGCCCATGCGGGAACGCATCGTTTATGATGTTGCTGAGCTGTTCGGCAGCGGGACATTCTGGACCGCTGCGCACGCCAAGCTGGGACTGCGCTGCGGCCCAGGTCTGCGGTGTCATGGCCAACCGGCGTCTTTGCTGAGTCTCCTCCAGAAACCGTTTTGGCAGGAGGTTGTAGGGCTTGTGTTGCGAGGGCTGGTTCGGGAGTGGCACTTTGGGCCTGCAAGTCTGTCCTTTAGTCTGCTGCAAACTCCGCGACGACGCTCTAGGCTTCAGCCGCTCGGGTTTAACTTGGGGGACCCTACCATTAAGGACCATAACTCCGCTGCCCAGCGCTTGGCGTTCCTTCTCTCACTGATGATGTCGGATGGAAGGCTGTTTAGCGTCGCTCAGCCTAAGGGCAGTGTAATGTTTTAGGCTTCACTGCTTTAGGGTCCTCGTTCTGCAAGGGGCGGTTTATAGTCGTGTGCAGCACCAGCATTATGGATCGCCTTTTGCTAACAGCACGATTTGGTTGCATAACAAGCCCTGGGTGCATGAGGCGACTAGATTCTGTAGTGATCAGCGCTCCGAGGACTGTTTGCCAGTGATTGGCCGCTGCACGGGAGGCGCCATGCAACGTTTGCTGAAGCTTTGCCGCCCGTCGGTGGCCGGAGTCCTTGGTGACATCGATCCTAAAGTCCTAAAGGTCAGACCATGTCGAAGCTGGCGTCTCTGCTGCCCTGTCCGTTGTGTGAGCGACTGGCAGCTGGTTCGCTTGCAGAGACTGCGGGACAGGCTCCCCTGATGCCACTGTCAGCCAAGGCTCGCGCTCTCAAAGAGGCTTGGGGTTGTCAGCTTTGCGAGCCGTCCGGACTCAGCGAGTCACGCAGCTCGGAACGCGAATTCTACGACGACCCGCTTTGGATCGGCGAGCTTGCAGACAGCCTAGGTTTTCAGGAGCTGCTCAGGTACCGTTTTGCGTGCACTGGCCACATAAACGTGCAGGAAGCGAGAGCCTACAAGACGTGGCTGAAGCATCTCTGCTCTGCAGCACCACGATCTCGTGCTCTAGGCCTGATTGACAGCAGGGTTTTGTTAGGAGCTTCCTCTAAGGGCCGGTCCTCTAGCGGGGCTCTTAGTAGGGTGCTCAAGAGTTCTTTGCCTTACGTTTTGGGAGGAGCTCTTTACACGGCAGGTCTTCACGTTTACTCGGCCCAGAACCGCAGCGACGGGCCGTCAAGAGGGAGGCCGGTCGCTCCTCCCAACAAGGAGTTGCCGCTGTGGTACACTGACTTGTGTCAAGGCGACACTGGCAGATTTGACATATGCCTGGCCGCAGCTCGCGTGCCCAAGAATCCTTCGAGATGGCTACGCTTGCTGCTGTTGCTCGCCGGAGACATCGAGCCTCATCCTGGACCTGCTCTCCAGCCGCGCGGACCTCTCGACCTCCAGTCGGGCTTTGCAGCATCCGCGCGGCATAAGATGCAGAAAAGCTTCGATGCCTTTGCTATGTGGCTCCTCGGGGAATTCAATCTGCAATTGGCTCAAGTGCTGACGTGCGCAACCACTGCCTCTACAGCGTTGCGGGCGTTTGGGCTGCGCCTCTACGCTGCAGGTCTCCAGCGTTACTTGCTGGTTTATGCCATCACCGCGGTGCAGGATCTCCGGCCACAGATGCGGGGGTCGCTCACCGGGGCGTGGCAGATCGACAAGAAATGGCAGCTGGCGGAGCCTGGGTCCTGCAGGCCCGTCATCTCCGCGCCCATCTTGCAGGGGGCAGTGGCTCTGGCTCTACTGTGGGGCTGGCTGGACTGGGCAGCCATCACTATGCTGGGCTTCATCTGCATGCTTCACCCCTCTGAGTTTGTGAACCTGCGCCGCTGCGACTTGGTTTTGCCCCGTGACGCCATGAGCAGCGACCGCATCGCTTATGTGCATGTCCGGAACCCCAAAGCCCCAAAACGGCTCGCTTCGCCAGGAGACAACACGCTCGCATGGAGGACGAGGCTACGCTCTCTTACCTGGAAGCCCTTTACAGCAACTTGCCGCAGCAGGAGCAGCTTTTCCGAGGCTCTATGCACACTTACAGGCGGCAGTGGGATGCAGTGATGAGCAGATTGGGCGTGCCGCACCGTCTTTCTGACCACGGAGCCACACCAGGAGTGCTGAGGGGCTGCGGTGCTACATACCTCTACTTGGAGTGCGAGGATGTCCAGCTGGTTGCCTGGAGGGGTAGATGGGCAAAGATGAAGACGGTCGAGTTCTATCTGCAGGAGGTCGCTGCGAATTTGCTTGTCCAGCAGTTATCTGACAGCGCCAGATCCCGTATTGCCGTGCTGCGCTCGGCAGCTCGCCGTCTCCTCTTTCTGGTGACAAAGCACCGCTCCGATCAGCAAGAATGTTAGGAGTGGAATCCTTCGGCCTCTCGCGACTTTCCAAAGTACCCTCCCTCGGTCTTAGTGGTTTAGGTCCCCCCTAAGCCCTAGGTCCGCGTACGCGTGTCGCTTGCGGCTCTCCAGTTTGCGAGCAAAGCTCGCTGTGCAGACCTTTTGGGAACCTTCGAGCAGGCAGGCGAAAAGATGGTAT